CATAAGGTTCCATCGTCCATATACAGGACCTCCTCCACGTCCAGCCCTTCAAAAACCCTGCCCTGACCCCTCCAATCAAACTCCGCCTCGGCTTCCATGAGGGCCAGGCCGGCAATGAAGGCGAAAAGAGCGGGGGATTCTGGGGAACCCTGTCGTATGCCCTTGTTCATTGGCACTGAACTGCACCCCCACGGGGTCTGAAGGATACCCACGACATTCGAGAGAAGTCCCTGCCAGCAGACAAACTCTGCTTCACATGTGACCAGGGGACGTATCTTCCGGAGCAACATATCCCTGTCCAGACAGTCGAAAGCCTTATGAAGGTCCAGCTTAACTGCAGCAAAGGCCGTCCCCCACTCTCTGGACATCTCCATCATGCGCCAAAGAGTGTAAAGATAATCACTGGTCTGGCGTCTTGGAGCAGCGCACTGCGCCGGACCTTGCGGCGCAATACCCTCGGCAATGCGAGCCAGTAACATCTTGGAAAACACCTTAGCTGCCGCTGACCCTACCGCGATCGGCCGGAGGTCCCGAGGCTGACAAGGCATGGGGACCTTGGGTAGCATCGCCAGGATCGGCCGATTCCAATCCACTGGGATGACTTGTGTCGCAAGTATTCTGTTGTACCACTCAAGCAAGTGGCCGAAACCACCATTTACCTCGGCAATGCCCAGAAGAAGCTCCGTGCTCGACAAATCAACCCCAACTGCTTTACGACGCTTCAGGGAAGATAGTGCGGCACGTAATTCTGCCTCCTCGAATGGTCTCACTTCTGAAGAAGCAGTCATCACATGGACCTGAGGACCCTCATACACCGACTGTAGGTGCCGGTGAACCGCAGCGTGCGGGTCATCTGCCTGATTCTCCGCGAAAACCGTATCCCAACCCTGGTGCTTCTGCGGCCTCAGTTCCCTGAATGTCTGCCAGTCACCCTTCGAGGCGTTGACGAGTCTCTCATGCTCCCACTGTTTCCTGGCGGCAGCCCTAGCTTTGAGAGCGGTCTTCCAAGCCTGAGCACTCCCTGATACCTTGGCACGTCTGAACATCACCTTGACCGGTTCCGGATCCACAAAGCCCCTGCTCCCCTTGACCCTGGTGTGCTGCCTAGCCATTTGCTGGAGGACTGCTTGGTCCATGAAATCCACCTGCTGTATCCCTCCGGTCCACTCTCTCTGCCTGGTGTCATGTCTGATGTAGACCTTCTTGGCATGCAACCCCACGCGTCCCTCAACCAGTTCATGGTCTGTGCCTAGCGTCAGGTAGGAGTCCACGTGTATCCGATGTTCGAAGACCCGTAGATGTTTGACGGCGAGCATGTCCATAATGTGACCCCTTCTTCCCTCCTGCCTTGGACGGGTGGTAGGTGTATTCCACTGCGACACAATCGGTGCAACCATCTTCAACCCTCTCTCCTGGAGCACCTTCTGCACAAGCGACCCCTTGCCCTCCCTAGCCACAGCAGTGGGGCAGCCATTCTCCGGTACCCACGAAAACCCTGTGTTGAGGTCGCCCTGGAAGACTACCCTGTGCGCATTCCGAGGCAACTTCCCAAAGTGTTCCTCAATCTGTTCCTCGTACACCGACGCCGTTACCCCCGGGGAAAAATGTGCCGTGCCACACCAGATTTCCAGATCCCTGTAAAGGTGCTTCATCTTGAACCAGGTACCTCTCTTGCTGCAGACCCGCTTACGGAGGGACCACTCCGTAGGCTGGAAAAGAATGCCAGTACCCCTCCACAAATCGCCCGATCTATGTGTAGCACATCTCCATCCCTCAAGTGTATGCCATGCCCACCCTTCCTGTGCCCTCGGGTACTCTTGAAGCAAGACAATGTCGGCTTTTTTGACTGGCCTCCCTGCAGCGTCCGCTAGCGACTTCGGAAGGTCTGTGACATCAGCTCCCCCAAGATTCCACCCGAGGAGATTGAAGTCGAACCTCTGATCATCGGCAGAATCGCCCCGACTGCAACCGCCTCCAGCCAGCTCACCATTGCCTTGATGCAGCAGCTCGCCATTGGGGCCAAAAAGGTGTGTGAAATCAGCTTCCGACGACTGGTGCTGTCAGCGGCGCGTGCTCTCCAGTGCATCCCGAAAAGCCTGCTCCGCAACCTTGAGCTCAAGACCCGCCTTCTCACAGTCGATCCAAGCTGGATGCTCGCTTTCCTCATTGACCACCACCTTCCGCTGGTCTGTTCCAGGAGGCGAAGGCCGCTGCGAGCTTGCAATAAGCGAGTCCCCTGCCCACACGGTTCCGCTAGACCACTCCACGTCGAGCAAGCTAAGTTTCGCCTCGTCCAGCAGAGCTGTAGCCCTCTTCACCCACGAAGCATGTGCCCCATGAGCTCTTTCCTGTGGAGACTTGCTGTACGAAGCCCAAAGCTTCCTCCCATCCACCGTCTGGGCCCCCCGATCCGCGAAAGCCCGGAGGATCTGATGCATTCGAGTCCGCATAGCAGAGAAGGTCTCACCTGGCCTCTCCTTAAAATTGGCCAAGGCCATGCTCCTTCTTGCACCCGTCGTGAAGGGCGCCTCATCCATGAGCTCCGCCACATGCAGAGTATCCACCGCCACCTTAAGCTGGTCCAAGATTTTCTGCCGGCGCGTCTCTCGAGGCCACCCACCGAACACCAGCGTCCTCTGCCTTCTATCTCCTTGATCGCGTCGTTGTCCCGATGGCTCGGGCCGAGACGCAAGCTCAGCCAGCTGCTTCTCCAGCTTGAGAATGCGCTCGTCCGCCTGCTCCGAGGCCATTATCACCCTGTCGACCCTTTCGTCCAACCCGGCGATTTTGCCCTCCAAGGTGTTCTCAAGCTTACCCAGCGCACCATCCAGCTGCTGTTGGCTGGCACGCATAAGCGTCTGGGTCTGAGCTTCCATCATCGCCCGTATAGCATCCAAGGTGACAGCTCCACTCATCGGCTCTGATCGCCTGCTCTTGGGGCTCCTCGGGTCCCGCAGCTCATCATCACTGTCTCCACTGACATGGACCGGCATGTCCACAGCGGGCGGCGAGTCCTTCCCACGCCGCTTGTCCCCCGCAGGCGAACACCCTCGGCCTTATCCGCGAGGTACAGCTCCCGCACACCTCGTCAACACACAGCCGGGTCGCCTCGCTGAGGTAGCACAGACACCACGCCGCAAACCCCAGCCCTGAAGGGAGAAGACACACGCACCCTTGAGCCTTGAGCCAAATGTTTAGGGTTAAGGGTTTCGGGTTTAGGGTTCAGTGTGGGTGGGCTCTGTGGTGCTATGCTGTGCGAATTCTGTAAGGGCTCTGTGAAGGTTCTAGAAAGGCTCCATTATGCTGTTCGTTCTTAAAGTTCAAGGGTTGAGGTGCTTCCATCCGCGAAGCTAACCAGGTGGCACTGCAAGGAACTCTTTAGACAAACATTGTGGATTTGACACTCACACTCGGATATGGGGATTAGGGTTCGGGGCTTTGGGCATAGGGCATGTAGGATTGTGGTTGAGGTCAACCGGTTAAAACCTATGATACTTGCGGTTTGCATCAGAGTCTTGACTGTGGATTCCTGAAAGCTAGGTTTGGGATCTAAGTCATAAATGCAAAACTGTATCACCTAAAGCGTGTATATACGCCTGTCGGACACGGATAACACCTCATATGCACACCTGTAGTGTTTAGAACTACGGGGTGTTGTTTTGAGACTCACACTCGGACAAGCCAGGCAAGGTCTGAAAAGATACTGGTTCGAACGACACATTAATTAACCGCTGGGGTTAGGTTAGGGTTTAGGGCTTCAGGGCTGACGGAGAGGATTTGGGGATACCGAAACATATCCTGGGCCCAGGGGTTGAACGAGAGGTTGAGACTGAGGATTTCGCGCTTCGGGTTTCGATGCGCGCACTTGCACCAGGCAGGCATGGCTTCACAACGTCCGAGGGTTTAGGTTTTGAGCTCTGGCAACTCGGACTTAGCCTGACGAGGTCTCTTTAGGGGCTTTAGGGTTTAAGTTTAAGGGCTGTTTTCCCACCCGCTTCGCGGACTAGGTCGCACTGCAGGGAGACTGCGCTCGAAGAGATGTGTTGTTTTGAGCACATTTTTCTGCCAGGGTTCAGGGCTTAGGGTTTCAGCACGCACTGCTAGGACAAGCTAGGCGAGGTCTATCTGTTACGGCGACAGGCAATTTAGCCAACTCAGGAAGAACGATACTAGCGCGCTCACACTCGGACACTCCAGGCGGGTCTGCTCAGGGCTTAAGGTTCTTGGATTTGAGAGGGGCGCCCACCTATCAGGAGAACCGAGGTGCATGGCTCTGGCAAGGAGACGGGGAGTGGGCAGGAAGGAGGCGAGACCAATGAACACTGAATTAGCTCAGGACTTTTGTCCTAGCTAGTAAAATATGAAGCTCGCTGCTTCGCCCCTTAAACCCTAAACCCCTCCTCCGTCCACCCGGCTGAGGTTGCGAAAAGCCACATTCAGCGGTTCGGAGCCCAGCCGATGGTCGAAGTAGACCTGCAACACGTCGGCACAGCACACATATGCAGTAGAATATTTTATTATGCACCGGAAATCTGACAGAGCTTGTTGCGAAAACTAAGGCTGCAGTTCTGTGCCGGTTGACGCACATGCCTCAGATAAACTCAGGAGCGCCCTTCCGTCCTATCTGCCACGCCTGGCAGGTCTGTGCCTTGCGGTCGACCATGGACACCACACCGGCATCTCCTCCAAGCGAGCCGTCTGGAAGAGGTAAGATTCATGTCGCGCGTTGACCTCCGACGTCCTGCTGCAAAATCCTGAAAATGCCGGCCGGGTAAGACGCAGACCTGAATCACGGATGAATGGATGGAACGGCACGGATCGTACGGTACAAAGCCTCAAGCTTTTACTGTCCAAGCCTTGTCGCCCACTGTGAAATCCATTGTCTCATGCTGGCGTGCGCTTGGCATTGGCGACGCCGCGCAACCAGCGACTCTATGCTCAAGATGAGCCCATAAAAAGGCCGTCTGCGGCACGAAGACCCTGTTGCAACAGCCAACTCCGGCGCGGTCAGAGACAAGGAGCCTGCAGCCTGCAAGTTTAGCACCCGACACCCTCGTGCAGAAAGAGTAGGGCCGGGCCGGTCTCCGGGACCTCCGTGTCCAAGCTTGGCTCCGAAATCACCAAAAGCATCCCCCGGCCCAATCTTCCCCGTCGCACCTCCAGATCTGGCGGAGCCTTTAAGCCCAGAGTCTCCACCTAATGGCTTCAACGATGCATCTCAGACTAACAAAAAGCCACTGCGGATGCTACCAGTAAAGACGAACAACGAGCCGCATCGGCGATGAACCAGCTGCGAGCAGCACAAACGCTAGCACTAAGAGTGTAGATCTAGCAGGCTCCACCAAGTCGAACCCTACGACGACTGCCAAGAACTCTAGAGCTGATCAGCAGCCGACGCTGGCCCAAACGTCTGCAAAGACGCAGCCTGAGACTGAGACAAGTCACAGCCTCACTTGACCAAGAGTCGGCTTCTTTAGAACCTTTGGGGTCTCTGGATTCTCTCTGAGTCTCTGGGTGCTGAGCGGGGCCCCACTCTTTGCAAGAAAGCTGTCAGGCTGTCGTCCTCGGCGGGCTTGGCACGGAGCCGGAATCGTGATTTCAACTTCTGTCAAAGGGCACACAGACAGCCAAGCGGCCGAGTCCAGCAGAAAGGGGCGGCGAACCAAACGATCGCCTGCTCCAGGCAATTTGTGAACTTCACGCTCATGCCGCTTCAAAGGTTCCTTGTCCCTCAAGACACCGAGAGTCCTCGCCTTTGCGCGAGGGCTCCTCGCAGCGCAGGCGCAGCCACTGGGGCTTCCTCGGAAGGGCTTTCGGAGGAGAAACCACACCAGACGAAACCCGGCACCAAGCTTCGCACTGAGTGTGACTGCCCGAGAGGACCTGGTTTCTGGCAGCTCTGGACTTCAAGGGCCAAAACGAAAGCAAGAGATGCCCCGAACGAGATATCTTCCACGACACTTCCGTTTGTCTCTTGCGGCTGTGTCCGATCGAGGCGGGCAATGTTGGAATGGTGTGGGGCCTGCTAGGCCATAAATGGCAGTGCGCTCTGACTTCGTCAGTGTCGAGGCAGCTTACAGCTGTGACATTCTCCGGGCAAGGGCAGCCCCAACTGGGGCATCCCAGGCTTTGTCAATCACCGCTGCAAAGCATGTTGGGCAAGGAAATTGGCTAGAGCCGAGCCGAGAAGTCAGAAGAGGCCAACAGACGACTGCAATTACCTTATTGAATTCTTTCTCGGTGCTTCTCCAGCTCCAATATGAACAGGCTCGCTGCAAGCGCGGGAGAGGGTTGCAAGTCTCGACATCTAATCTCCAAGCATCTTGATTCTTGTCTCTGGTCTCTTGAACCCTAAAAGCCTAAATCCCCGAGGCTTGGAGACGACGTGGCCTGGGCACTTTGCCGCGACCACGTTGTTGCAACCCTGGCAGTACCGAAGGCCCCGCTTTTTCAAGACACGTACTTGGAAACCAGTGGTGCTCCACTCACTCGATTCTGCGTGTATGTGTGCGTGTGTGTGTGTGTGTGTATGTGTACGTACGGATGTATGCATATGTATATGTATATTCATATTCATATTTGATGCCGTGCAAGTGAAAATGCAGTGTCATGTGTATGTGAAAAACCATACACTCTATATACACTTGTTTATATGTGTGTGTACGGGTATGTACACTTGTTAACATGCGAAGGAACTGGGCACCCAGTGTTGGTGAAGAATGCCAGCAGCTCTTGGTCATATTGTTTTTCTTTCTTCCCCTTGCATTGCTGACCGAGTCACTAGGCAATTATTATGCAACATTCGTCCACGTATGATGAAAAGACCACCGAGGCCTACGGCCTCCTTGAGATCACCTCCTGCTGCACATCTGCCAAACATCGCAGATGTCAAGCGGATGCTGTCAGGCCCCCGTGCCGTCACTCAAGCATGAACTCATGAAAGGTGGTTGCCAGGGGAAGCAAACATTACAGGAATCACATGCATAAATAGATAAATATATATATATATATACACACATAGTCTATATGCATATATGCATATGTATGAATATGTGTCTGTTTCCTTTATTTCGAAGGTACCGACAGGAACGGAACGGAGCTGGTGGGGGCCTATGGGAGAAAAGGACGAGGGCACAAAGCGCATACTCGGTCCTGACTCAGTCGCCATCAAGGTTTCTGAGATGCAGCGGCGGGTGCGCTAAAAAAGTTAGCTTTCATACAAAACTACGCTCCTTCCGCGGAAAGCTTTTGCAATTCAGCGTCAACGTGCAATTGCTTCAGAGTCGTGGCTTCGCAGTCCTCTCAATGCAAGCACCTGTGGCTCCCCACTCGCACGCTTTTACTCGGACGGGATGCCCTCACTGACCACAGAAAACGTAGAGACTTTAACGTCTTCTCTGCGCAGTGCTTAACCTCCACTGACCCAAATTGGGCTCCGGACGCTTCAGCGGGGAGGCCGAGCCGTCTGGCTTCCAGCTGGGACAGGAGGAGTGGCCTGAGAGGACCTCGGATGCGACACAGACTGCACCCATCCGCAGAATTCTCAAAAAAAACACTCCCTAAAAAGGCTGCCCGGTGGCTCTTTCATGGACAACGCCAACTGGAGGGGCTGCTGCTGGCGTCGCTCCACGACCTCCTTCCACAGCTCCCGCTCGTGCTTCACGCGCTCCTGGCGTGCACAAAACAAACCACAGCTGGCTCAAGCTCCAAACTTGGCGGATAGCCCAACGAAACATCGGAATTCACCAAGACATTGCTGCCAATCCCAAAGCTCCAGTTGTGACTCGATGTGCTGCTGCGAGATTTGGAGGAGACGCAGGACGCTGTGGTCCGCCTCCCAGTCGAGTCCGCCGAAAGTCTCCGTAGGACAAGCTTTCATGCGTAGAACATGCGGCACAAAGCACGCAGACCAAGACTCAAAGCGTCATGGAAGCCCTGAGATCTCTGCCTTCTTGGCGATCATGTCCAAGATGTTGCGGAAGCGCTGAGAACAGCGCTGGCGCCAGGCCTGCTTGCCCCAGCTTCTACTGATTCTACTGAGTCACTTTCTCAAGACATGAAGCTTGCAGGTAGGTCTCAACAATCTGTCAGCAAGAAGAGGCTACGAGAAAGGGTGATCAAAAACCATACTGACTGCCGTCGTCGTAGTGCTTGCTGTGGTACTGTAGTACGAGTACTTGTGGTCGTCGTCGCCGCCGCCGTCGTCGCCGTGGTGATGTGTTTGACGGTGGAGGCGGCAGTGGCGAGGCGCTAGTGGCAGTGGCGGTGGCGGTGGTGGTGGTGGTGTCGTCACTCTCGGTGTCGTCCTCGTTGTTCGCACCACAACCAAGACTCAGTAGGGAGTAGTACGAAAGGCCAGAGCCCCGCAAGGCAAACCTTGTCCACCCGGAACGACAAGGTCTCGGCACTCTCCTGCACCCGGCACAGCTTCCAAGCTCTCCAGTGAGGTTTGAGGCTGCCAACTGCTGAGACCAAGAGGAGCACCTTGCCTCCCAGCCCAGGAGTTCGACGTCCGCTTCTGCCCCCTCACCACCCTCAGCATCGTCAAATCGTGGGCCAGGGAAAACACCGACGACCTGCGCGAACTTGACGACACCTGGATCCAAGCTTCAATAAAACATGTGTCTGTGCACACACGCATACACAATGTGTATCTGCAACTGCACAAATGAAGGTGTTTGTGCTCACATTGCTCTTTGTCACGCCATGTTCGAGCACTTGGTCCGACCTTTGGTCAGGGAGGAGACGCAGTGTTTGACATCCTCGAAGGGCTTCTCATTGACCTACGATCAAACTCGCCGGTCCAAACGGCTCAGCAATGCTCAGCATGTCGCTCATGGGACATGGCCTTGGTGTCCAATACATCGTGGATGGCATCCAGCTGCGCCTTGAAGTTCTGCCCGTCCAAATTGCGCTGCTTCTCCATTTTCTTGACAGCCTCCGGGGAAAGGCCGTCCGCTGATCCGCTCCTCTACAGGACACTACCTCCTCCAGCCGAGACACATCTGACCCTTTCTGGATATCCACTTCGTGGCTGGCACTCTTGACTGTGAGGCCGTTCACCTCACCGCGAAGGCGTCTGCAGCTTCTGCGGCATGCTGACATCCCATGGAATTAGCTTCCAGCCTCTTCGCGAAGCTTGAGGATGTCACGCTTCTCCTCCCCCAAGCCTCCCTGAACTCCACTCATGCCTTGGTAGGTGTGCGTGCTGGGCTGTCCTTCTTTTGGAGCCCTAAAGGCCCACCTAAGTCGAGCTGCGAAGGTCGAGGGCCCCCAGCCGGCGTGAAGACTCTGCAGAACGAAGCTCCGACTGCTGCTCCTGGGGCTACTGCGAAGTCTCTCCGTCTCATGTTTGTATCCATGGCGACATGCTGCAGTACTGCAACGAAGAGAAGCGGGATTTATGGTGCCCTCCAAGGTTCCACATCTCCAATCTTCTCCATGACTTCTTGCTGCTTCGAGCGGCTGTCGTTCTTGAGCCGCGCCTATCAGTGACATTTCATGGTGATTTTTGAGGGGGCACTCAGACACACTCCGGTGCAAATTGGGCGAAAGCCAGTTGGCCCAGATCGGCCTCGGTGTCTGCCACGTTCCGCTCCAAGTCGCTGCGGACAACGGCCACCTGACAGGCTTGCAAAACCAAGGGGTAGGCGAGATCACGGC